AATATTGCAATAATATGAAAAAATAACAATGAAATAGGTGCATAACATCATGAAAAATCGCCTGTAAGAACCAACGACCAATATCAATACAAATCAAGCCTCGAGCAGAATCACATCAACGAGTGAATTGAACTCGAGCAAGTCTGTACCCCTATGGCATAATAACGAATCCTAAAATAATTTTTTCAAAGTCACGTTCAAGATTACTTGAAGCTCCAAAAAGTGTTATAAATTGAGTCATCTGAACTGATTGCTGATGTTGCAATTTGAACCATCACAGTGTTTTCTCTCGAAACAAGCAGTGCGATTCCAATTCTTGTAGAGTTTCATTCTTTCCAAATAAGGGCCTTGCATACATTTGAACCATTATTTGTACGCGGATGAACCATTATTTGTACGGAACCACTGGGCAGGGTGGCCCAGTGGTTACATGCAGTTCAGAGTACCAGGATTGGCGCAGAGAGGCGCGGGTTCGATCCCAGCTCTGTGCGCCAGTTTCTGGTCAGAATCGGCAATGAGGCCGGGCGGTTAAACACAGCAAAATTGTAGCAGTGAGTTGCAAGTTCGAGACCGCAAAATGCTGTAAATGTTCTGCGATGTTAAGAATCGACGACAGGCCTATACGGCCTAATAAACGCTGCAACCTCTATTATATATTATATTATATACGCAGACGAATCTCTGAGAACCTACGGTCTTACCTGGAAAATAATTTGAAAACGTTTGACTTTTCCAAGCCAATCGCTTCATAAAATAAAAATTAAAGTCCCCCCCCCCTCCAAAAAAAAATTACTAGAATTAATAATAATCTTGTAAGACTTTCGAAGAGCTTCATTTTCGATTCTTTTCGAAACGTTATGCTAACTTTCATTCAAGTTAACCAGAATTTGCAAAAAAAGAGTCCGGATGATGTTGGGCACAAGTCGACGAAATTTGACGTCAATTAACGTCACAAGGCACTTAAATCATTAAATGATTAGGGATAATTGTAAAAATTCACAAGCAACAAAGGTTAAGTTGAAAGTTGGAAATCATATTATTGCTTGAATATTCCATGGAAAGTTGAGACAATACTATTATTGCTTAGTAAAAATCCAGGAATAAAGTGATCCGGCGCGATTGAAAGTGTCTACGTTAATAGTGAAAAGGTTTCTTAAACTTGGGGGTTAAAAAAAAGAGGTAGCTCCAAAACTGTTCAGAATGCTAAAATTGTTCCGGTCGCCAGCGTCCCAGCATAATCATGCAGGATTACTTAAGTTACACAATTTCTCATAAATCTCATATATATCAGAAAGTTTATTCATATATGTATATTGTAAATTTATGATACCCAAGGCCGGAAAACTTGTAATTGCCCAAGTTTTACGTAAGCTAAACAAATGTCTGGGCCGCACTACACAACGCGTCTCGTCAGTTCCGTCTGATGATTGATATTCATCATTAGTTTCGAGTGTGTTGCGATGCTCGTTAATTCTATCTAGAATGAAGGAACGCCTTCACATACATGATGAATTGCTACATCACCGACACCCTGCGAATAATTCATCTCAGGTACTCGGAAGGAGTAAGGAGTTTTATTTATCCAAAGCAATAATTGAAATTTCTTGGGGTCTGCCATCGCAACCTCAAAAGTTATAAATTAACAATTTGTGAAACTTTTGAAAATTATTTGATATATCTCAATTAAATACATCACCATTTAATTAGGTTTAGGTCGTAATTAGGGTACTAGAAAAAACGGAAAGACATGAAGCAAACCTTGAACTGGCATGGTGACAATTTAAATTGCAAGAAAGATGAAACAGCGGGAGTTTTATTTCTGTTTATCAACGTAAATATTGGTGAATGCGCAAACACACGGAAATATGAAATAGGTACTAACGCTGAACTCCTGAGTAGAATTGGAACCTGAAATGAAAAAATTTATAAAATTCCCTATAACAGTACAATATTTTGCCATTGTAAAATTTTTCAGAGATATTAATAAATTATCCATGCTTGTCATTATCAAACTACATTTAATCACAAAATTTTATAGTGGATCAGCTAAAAATAGTCTAATTATAAAAGTTAAAGGCTGATATTGTGGTTCAGCCTGTACATATTCTGGAGCCCAAATATTGTATAGTCTTCAACATTAAATTATTCATGTCCCTGTTGCTAATCCATTACTCGAGGCAGGAGTGGCAGTGATGAAGATATTATTATAGTTTGTGATAGCGTCCGTTTGTGCAAATTCTATTCAGCATGAAGGAAAAAATATGTAAAAAAAATTGGCGTTACGACATCCATTACACCTGAACTTTCAGAGACAACTCAATGCCAACACTCCGCAGATGAATAACACTCCTTCATGCCTTTCCCAACTGCCAAATGAACAGATTGAAGGCGACGACATCAAGCATGATACTGAAATATGAGGAATGAAACCCGGAGATTTCAGGCGAAATGACATAAATGACACAGTATATACGTGATTGCAAGTTATGTTCTCGTATATCTGGAGTCTGTTGTTTGTTGGAGTCTGTCATTTCATTTCTTTAAATTCCTGTAATGATGTTTGCTGGCTGATACAGTGTGACATCACAAATGCTGAGAAAATTGCTATGAGATTCTTGCTGTCTCATTTTCACATATTGCGTGGTCTGTCGTCAAGTAAATTCATATTCACCTATATTGCGGTGCTTCTTTATAAAGTGGGATAAAAGATTATCGCAATCATAAATAGTCAGACTAAGGTTTTTGTTTGACGATTCACTAATTTCATTTGATCCACGGTAAAAGGATTTAATGGGCAAGAGAGAAACTAAAACTTTTCGCCTTGACAGCAAATCATAGTCGGTGAATTTTTGCATATATATATATTGTTTTAAGTCGGTTTTCTATTACTAAAAGATTTATTACGTTATATCATAAAATTATAATTTACCGTTTAGTAAAATTATAAATTTTGAATAAATTACCGAATTTTCTTTAATATTCCCACATAAACCGCCTACCTATTGACGAAATCCACATGCATGCTGGACTGCATGCATGGCTTCTTCATTGAATTTTTTTTCGAATTTTCGTAACATTAGTAAATAATTTTGAAACCTGCGGCTTTGATTAGACCACCTCTGCGCATCTACGCCCATATTGAATTAAACTTCTTAAATGTACAAATTTTTATTTCCCCGAATAATTGTAGTTATGTGCCTTCTATAGATAGCAGTGTGCACGCGTGCATGTAATGCTTCTATAGCAGCATGGATGTGTAGCGATTCCTATGGCAGCTTATACAAATATATTTAACAGCTCACTAATGATCAATAATGATTATATCAGAAGCTAGAATAACATTAGAGCAAACTGACAAGATGTGAGGTCTAGGTAGAAGATAATATTAAAAAATTAAACTTGAAAGTTCGTTTCAATGTATGTGTACCCGATCGTTATCAAGCGTGCATAGCGCTTCATTTGAAAACCCTCATTAACTTTGATAAAAAAATACGAGATTTCAACATACGCTTCATTTCTGTTGAAGCTGCGATTCTCGTTCCTGATTGAGATAATTACCGAGGTCTCTATCTTATAAGAAGTTTATAAACTCGCACTTTTAGCCTCTACGCTCCGCCCTCATCTGGGCCGCAGCCCTCGGCTGAATGCCTGCGAGGGTCCCTCCTGTTAATAGAATCTGTGACCCTCTTAATTATTAGTAAATTACATGCGTTAAATTAAAAAAATGGAGTTTAAAACAATGCGTGTTGCATTAGAACTCTGAAAATATTCTAGGCAGTGCGGTTGGACATGAGTTCTTGTATATAAAATTAGTCAGATGAAATCAAATTGGTGTTTGTTATTCCGTCGACAGAAAACATGTTTTGATATTCATGTTTGGATGTAACCAACCAGACCGTGCTTTGGAAATGTTGATGTTTCTATAACATTCTTCATTTACACAGTTTCGCAGCTGCGTTTTTGAGCTTATAACACAAAAAATCAAAATCAAAACGATATGCATTGAAATGTATTATAACGTATTTATAGTAGTTTTGTGAACCCAAGGCTCGAATTTCCCCTAGACTGTGCAAGCGCAGGCGGTTGCTCTCAATACGACCATGCTCCGCCCCCTCGCATGGCGTCCGCTTCCCTCATGGGCTCCACTTCGGTTTCCGAGGGATTTCAGCTTCTATACTTGATACCTAATCCAGACGTGGGGTAAAGACTTAGTTTAATTAACCATAAAAACGTTCAATTCTAAACCAGGATTTTAATTTTGAGTTTTGAAACATTATGCAATTAATGGTTCTGGGATGAGGACGCTGCTATGACACCCGACTTCCCGCTGCTATGGGAGTTCCCCTCGCTTGCGGTGGCGGGTTGCCCGCGTCTACCCTCGGCGCTAGGCTCCTCCCCCGCGCGGTGTGGCGCGGGCGTGGCATGCGTGGCGTGAGTGTCAGCGGAGCGTTGTGGCGCAACGAGCACCAGTTGCGTGTCGAGCAGCGTGTCACGATCTGCCGCCACATCCTCGATCGCTTCCCAATCACCCATGATAATCTCCTCTGAATCTCCTACACTTGCGTTGCTAATGTCAGTTCGAAGCCCTGACAGTCTTGGCGAAACTGAAGGACGATTATCAATTAATAGATGAGATTAAAATTGACTGCGAACGCGATGTTTGGTTTTATCGTTGTGTAGGATTAAGTTTTTTTGGAGTATTTTCAATGCTCTAATGAGAGATCATTAGATCGTATTAGACTTGCAGGCAATTGTAAGGACAACAAAAAATCGCCTTAAGATGATATTGATTAATTTGAAATAGTGCAATGATCAGCTACTATCATGAACTATGATGTTGAAAATAAAAATTAGGACAAGCGTGTAAGTCGTGAATGAAATACCGTTACCAAAAAAATGTGAGCGACTGAATCTTTTATGAAGAAGAATTAATCTGGTCGGAAAAATATGTGACAAACTATTTTTTGTATATTCTGAACTGTGGAAAAATTTTCATTAATTTTTCTTTTTTAGAATTGATGTTCGGTGAGACAGTCAAGAATGTTTGTTACATAAAACTTTTTTAACATATTTATCTAGATATTATTGCAGCATAAAAAATTACTGTAGAAACATAGTAAACTCGTTAGTAAACAATGTGCATCTAGCTACGTCGGTAAAACTCGTTACAAGTGTTAATTGAAAACTTCTATATAGCGTTTGGCAATCAGTCGCGTGATCGAATTGTGCTAATCTCTCTCTTTTCCATTCTCTGAATATCACCTTATTAATTTTCGCGATTGAGATCTCCTGTAAAATTTATCCTTGATCCTCTATTTATTTTCTCCTTTACAATTTGTCCTACACATGTTGTCAAGATTTCTTAACGCACCTATTTCTATATCGCAAGCAAGCTCTCATAGCAGGTGCTGCTGGCCTCACCCACATAATTTATTAGTATCATATACTTGGATATTCAACTAGTACGTTCCTCCCTAGTCACAGTACCTATACCTAGATATTCCCCCAGCAAGTTTCTCACCATATCCTCAAGATGGGTCCAATCAAGAGCGAGAAATCCATCGACATGCTCAGCTCCCTGCCCTACACTGATCCTAGTCTCACCGCCATGGGTGAGTCGCAAGTCTGAAATATTTAATCTGATTTAAAGAAAAATTTTAGCTTATTATTTTTTATCGCTATTTAATTTATTTAAATGACACTTATTTTAGGAAATTATCAAGACACTTAATAAGATTTTTATAAGCCTTTATTTTATTGCTAAGAATTTATTATGAATTTGAACGCATTCATATATACTCGTAAGTAACCACGAGTCTATGAGAATCATAATATTTAGATATAAAGTTCTTGGAGCGGTAAGTTTAATGCGACTTCAAACTTTTCGCAAGCTTTTCAAATTTTGTAATCTTTAATCTATTAAGGATTTATTTATTTCGGAATGAACGACCGTAGTTATTTTCAATGGGGAGACATTTTTCCTATCATCAAATACCCCGGCCAAAGATTAAAGACCCAAACGTAAAATGCTACGCTGTTTTCGTGTTGCTAGCAATTTGACGGCAAATATTCCTAACAATAAGGAGTTTTATTGGTATATAAAATATTGAATAATTGTTTGAAAATGCGGAAATAATGATAAGTTGTGCTTGAAAAGAATATATTGCATAAAAAGGGAGAAAAACTTCTTAAATTATTCAGTTCAAATCAAATACACTCCTTGATATTGGATGAACACATTTTCATCCTAAATTTTTATTGCAACTATAAAATGATTCCTAATTCAAGGTTTCGAATTTTTTTCATTTATTCGTTCATATACTCATTTTTTCAACTAATATATGCTATGGCGAAATTTTTCATTCATTAATCTAATCCTATTCGTTAAACCTATAATTAATCCGACTCGTGCACCATTGCCGAAACTGTGCTTATTCTGAATTTATTATTACAAGCATTGATAAGTATAATATGTCTTGATGAATAATCACAATTTTATATAGGATAATTAAATACTTTTTTAGACAGTGTACATTTTGGGGAGTAAAACCTTCTCAAGGTGAATACATTGGGATTATAAGCACCATATCTTGAAGTTTGTGCTGTCTCTTCCTGAGCTGAGATAAACATATCTAAGAAATATTTGTATTAGCTTTGATTCGTAAGTGCTTTGAGCCAATCATGGCAAAGCTGAAATAGCTGGAAACATAACATCTCTTCATGCCGAACAATGTTTAAAATTTGGCATCCTGTAAGACATACCATAATTTTTTAATGAAATCAAAATTAGGAAATGGCTTTTGATCTATGGTGCTGAAAATAGAATATGGGAAAAATTTGAAATGTACAAAATAAAAATTAATAAATTTAAAGTGCCCATATAAGAAATTTATTAAGGCATTCAATCTATATATGCCTTTTCAACAAAAATAATCATCTACAGCTGTAGGAAATATTTCAACTCACCAGCGATTCCATTCGTTGGATTTAAGACGAAATCTGCGTTTGGACGTCGCTAATTTTAACATAATCTTCATTTGTACCTCGGCTTGGTTTTAAATATTCAACAATTCATTTTGGATTTGCCACTATAATTATTGCTTAATGATTGAAAACAATACGAACGTTACATGTAAACTTGCTCACCGTACTCGAATATGAAACGATAAAGAAATCAATAAAATGAAGCTGGGATACCTAGGAAGCGTAAATATTTCCCATTTGAACTAAAAAGAAGGTAAAATTATCTTAAATTGTATAGTCCTTAGTATTCCTTTCCTTAATATTTGTTTGGGACATAGCAGTCCCAGGCCACGATGGATCGCCGTCTATGTGAAACAACAGAAATTCATCACCAAATAACGTTCATCAAAGTTTCATTTATCCATGCACATGCATTCCGCATGCTGCACTCCCGTTGTACACCGCTACTGCCGTACTTGGTGGCCATTGGTCGGCCGGCGACAATCCGACTCTTATTCTCCATACATTTGGAGCTCTGGAAGCGAAGTAGTCCTCGACGTGCCCGGTATAAGTGGCCCTTGCCATTGTTTGGTTTCGATGTGGCCGAGCAGCGAAGTGTCTTCCTGACATCCTAAACCTACCAGCCCACGTAACCTGACCTCAAGTGTCGAGCCCTCAGCCTGTCAACACGCAACGTATAAACCGAAATGGCTTAAATTCTTTCAGTCAGACTTAATATCGGGAACCTGAATTATTGTCATAGAGAAGATTTAATTTAAACCATTATAATAATGATTTAATATTATTAATTTTAACCAACATTAGTAGGATGCTGTATAAAAAAAAAATTAATGCCGTCTCCCTATTTGTTATAAAGCCAAATTTGGGATTATACTTTAAAATTTAATTCAAGATCCGTTTTCTATTGGTAAGTTGAAAATTATGTGCACACAACTAACACATTTTATGTGTGCGAGTGTGAATTAAAAATTTGAAATAATTGAATACAGACAATTTTTCTTCATGGAAGCAGAATTTTTTATTAATTTTTTTCTGAAAATTATTCCTTAAACAAGAAAGTTTGCAGGCAAAATATGCAGTTGTTATTTCTTTTGATGTGAATGCTGAATACGATGAGTTCAACAGTTTCGTTCTTTTTTTACATTTGTACGCATAAATTACATTCTCGAAAGACGTGAGTCACGCATGTAAAATTTCAACGTTTGAATTTTCGAATATGTAAACATGAAGTTAAAGTGTCTAATAATCCAATATCGAATGGCACCATGCAGTGACTCCGCAATTTATAAATTAAATTTTGGTAAAAAATGAAAGCCTTGAAATATGTCGACTTTACTTATGAACTTACCCTTTCAAATGTCGATTACGTACAAGGTTTGAGGAGTCGTTTTTCAAAACTTGCTCTATTCTTGTTGATCGTCAAATATTTGGATATTAAACAGCAGTAAATGCCAAATGAATTTTTTATGATCAAGAACGTCATTAAATTTTAAATTGCCTGACGAATTTCATGAATGTAAATGTAAAAAGAAAAACTATATATACTTGTATTTTTCAATCATCTAGCCACGAGCTATGTTTGTGTTGAGGCTCGAACGGAGCAACAGAGCAATAATATACTGACACAGCGGGCCAGTATAAAATTATTACTCTGTTCAGCACTCTCCCTACGTCAGGATAATTACGTTTTTCAGCACCTCCCCTTATGTCAGTGTTATTACGTTAATCAACACCACTGTCTACGTCAGTATAATTACGTTATTCACCATCATCCCCTATGTCATGCAGTAAAATTACGTTAGTCACCACCACTCCCTACGTCAGTATAATTACGTTATTCACCTTCACCCCCTACGTTAATATAATTACATCATTCACTATCACTCTCTGCGTCAGTATAATTCAGTATTCTCTGCGGTATTCTCTGCGTCAGTATAGTATAATTTATTCAGCATCATCCCCTACGTCAGTATAATCACGTTAGTCACCATCATCCCTACGTCAGTATAATTAAATTATTCAGCACCACTTTCTACGTCAGTATAATTACTTTATTCAGCCCCACTACCTATGTAAGTATAATGACGGTATTTCCTACTATTCGCTACTATCTATACCTTTACTACAGAGCCAAGGCACCGAACCATCAATCAGTCTGGCTGCTGCTGCCCATAAGCCCTCATTAACATCTCGGTGGTTTCCGTGAGCGGGTTTTGTCACAATAGTCAGAGGACGTGTGTTCATCAGTCGTGCTTGAGATGTTCACACAAACACCAACACAACTAAACGGTCAGCACGTGCGACGTTGTGGCCAGCATCTCAGGCCGTCCCCTCGCGTGTAATGGTCTCAGGTGCTGACAGTGAAAGATTTCCCTTGAAAGATTTCCACCACTCACTGATTTCTCTTGACTTCCGCAAGAATTGTGTCCCGAGAACTCCTCAAGACGATGGGGACTTCAAAAAATTAATGTATTGCTGAAAATGGTGTATGTCATTGTCATTATTTTGTTTTGGAATGGTTGTAAAATAATTAAGCATAATGCAATTGACAAGCATTAGTGAAATTCACGTGAATTGTAATATTATTTATTTTACTGTCGCTTTGGGCAAATTCTTACGAATGTTGTAATTTCAAAATTGTAACGGTAATTTTTAAATAAAATAGAATTATATATATTATTATGAGTAACAGGCTTTTCAATTCATATTAGATAATTTTTTAACATGGTTAACTGAATAAGAATCTGGCCTTTACTCGTATCAAAACTAAATCAATAATGAATATAATTTAATTTTTTATTAAACTAAACATACACGAAATGTATTACTAGGGTTTTGGTTTGGAGCCGCTGCCATTATCATGGTGGCCTATATGCCGGCTAATTCCATTAAAGCCACGAAGTTAAAGTGTCAAATGGATAAATATAATGTTTTGATGAATAATCACAATTTTCGTAATCACAATCGTAATAAGCATCAATATGCGTAATAAATAAGTGATCTATCCTGTTCCCCATCCTAAGCATGAAGCCAGGCATTAACCTTTTACTTACATAAGTTTGATAATATGTCAATCATTATCTTTAAATTTTTTGTTATATCATTCCTTGTCTCAAAGTTATTACGAATTTTCAAAGCGTACGATAAGCCTACGTTATACTGTAAATCACGAGAGTTTACATATTATTGCAATCGAGCAAAAATGTTTCTAGTTCTTCTCGATAATTATTTATTACTTATTTGTCTATTATTTCTACTACATCAAGTGAAAAATTTGATGAATGAATTTTTTGACCGTTGTCAAATAAATGCGATATTTTCCCGTAGTCTGAATGAAAGAATTTAGCTTGTAATACGTGCCGGTTGCGCGTAACAACGTCAAAAATGCTCTGTCGCTAAATTCAAGTTAATATATACGGTGACTGAGTTAATATGCATGATTTAATCATACAGATTTGATCAGATAATGATCATAATTAGGAGATTTGATTATGATGTAAGATTAACGGTCTTATCAAAGCGCCTACCAACATTCGTACAAAAATATTAGATTTAGTCAGAATTATAATATTAATTGATTAATTGCCCGAGATAATAAAAAGCAAGTTTTACACTGAAAGGGTTTGCT